AAAATGTGGCATGGCTCAGCCGCTCTGTTTTATCGAAAAAATGCTTGAGGGACGACGATCACAAAGGCGAGCTGACCCTCGACCGGACCCCTACTGCGCGCGGGGGCTCGAGGAAAGTTGGACTCGCAAGAAGACCAAACGCGCTATCGCAGTACGACGGCGGACCGTTCAGATCCTAGGAGACCGAAATCAAGAAAAATCTTTCCGACCTCCTGAATCTTACGGTTGCATGCCCCAAGAAGACCGACCGCAATAAGAGGGAATCACCGTCCTACCAGGACACGTCACGGGCTACAAAAAGAAGGCCAAGGCCCTCAGAGTCCTCCCATCCGGAAAAGCCTCCAAAGGAGTATTCTACTCCTCCGCAGGCTCGGGGGCTACTATCGGGTATCAATATTAGGGATACCCAAAGCAAGGAAGTTAGCACCCACGCTAACTTTCTTGGATAGAGCAAGATGTATTAAAAGGTCTCACCCGACCCCTTGGGTTCATGCTCCGTCTCGCCCAACTCCTTGGATACGGGCTCCGTCTCGCCGGACCCCAAGGACATGGTTTCCGTCTCGCCCGACCTCGAGTCCACAGGGGTCTCCCCCAAGGCCGCGGGCTCCGTCTCGCCCGACCCCTCGGGTGAGAGCTCTGTCTCACCCAACCCCAAGGCCGCGGGCTCCGTCTTGCCCGACCCTTGGGTTCGTGCTTCGTCTCGCTTGACCCCTTGGGTTAGAGCTCCGTCTCGCCCGACCCCTTGGGTTCGTGCAACGTCTCACCCGACCCCTTGGGTTCATGCTGCGTCTCGCTCGACCCCTCGGGTGAGAGCTCCGTCTCGCCCGACCCCAAGGCCACAGGCTCTGTCTTGCCCGACTCCTTGGGTTCATGCTCTGTCTCAACCAACCCTAAGGCCGTGGGCTCCGTCTCTCCCGACAAGGACCCATACCGCCGCCAACCACTCCAGGTCCAAGCGTATGGGCCTGAGTCAAAACTCTAACACCAGAGAAGAGACTGACATGACTCGATGTAACCCGTGGCTATGACGGGCCATACCTGAGGATTCACATCAAGAACAGCGTCGGGCGTGCCGGTGCTATTCTGCCTAACCCTCGTACGAATGCTGACAGGCGCGTCAGTTCACCATGACGTCTGCCGGGATGAAATAGAATGCCATGATAGGCAGATGACGCCTGTGCATGGCGCCAGTGATGAACAGGGCCACGATGTGGAGCCGTCCCTGTTGACATCTATAGGATCAGCGGGACCCACATAGAGAAGGACCCGGCGATCCTAGAAGCCTCCTTCTCTCCGTTCTTCTCCTTTTCCTCTGTTGTAACCCGTGCTTTCCCTTTGCCTATAAAAGGGAAAGCAGGGCACCCCATGAAGAGGGATTCAGATCCACACAAGAGCACGATACGAGCACACGGCTGAGCAACGATCGAGCTCTCAGCACCCGTTCACTCCTTTCACCAAAGACTTGGGATCCCTTCCCTCTCTCGCCTATTTGTAACCCCTACTGCAAACCAAGTGCCGGTAACATGAGCAGCAACAAATTGAACGTAGGGACGTTCCGCCCGAACCAGTATAAACCCTGGTGTCCTCCGAGCACACCATCCGAGCCAGACGCGCAAATACAAATTTACTCGTCGGCGGTCCGAAAACACCGACAATGAGGCAAAATCGAGGCTACCACGTGGGCGAAATAAAAATCGCCGCTTCTCGACAGCGCCCCTGCCCCTTGGTAGCTTGGCCGCTGCTCGCCGCGTGCCTGAATGAGTAGCTGGAAGGAGCAGGAGTGGTGGCAACCGGATCTGGGAGGATGGCGCCTTCTTGCCCATGCTTCTGCTATGCTAGAGACAAAGCATGGCTACGTGTGCGCACGAGCACGACTACAAGGTGCCGAGAGCGATGGCATGGGGAAGCTGTGCAGGCATAACGATGACACTTCAGCAACGGTGAGGCAGAGCGTAGGCCCGATGGCGAGGAGGAACGCGGACCGTGCGACCATGACGAGGAGGAGGAGGAAGGGACACGGGGCCTAGCTACTCACGCTCCTCTGGGCATCGCTCGTCATTGGCCTCCTCCGACCAGAAGCGCGTGCTCGGGCTCCTCCGGTGGCCAGCCGTGCTTGCTCTTGGGCGTAGGTATATACTATTTTCCACAACCGAAGAAGTCGCTTTACCGAACGTTTCTCTGTTAAATAAACAAGAAAAGGTGCTCCACTATAGAAGCTATAAGTGAAGTTGTTTTAACTAAAGTCGGAGTTGTACCAAACGGTGCCCTTAGTTGGGGAGGCCTCGTGGGACGATGCGGCGGCACTGGTGGAGCCCGCGGGTGGCACGGGTATGGTGCGGCATACCCTAGGCTGATGCAAGTTGCAGGGGCGACACATCTCTTTCTCCCTCGTAGACAGCCTCAGTTCTGAGCTCTTAGCGGCGCGGCGGCGGCGCCCATCGAAATCGCGAGGAAGACGCAAAGGAGAAGGGGAACAGGAAAAGACTGATGCACACATTTGGGCTCCTGGCCTATCGCCTCCATCTGGACCAAAAATGGGCCGCGTAGCATTCACATCACATGAGCAGAGTCGTAGGCCATAGCCCAAGGGCGTTGTAGGCCAGTAGATGGGCAGCGCAGCAGCGACATGCATGCGGATTTGCTGATGTTTTTTTTCTGTTAACGATAACATTTCCTTACATACACACGTGGCACTCCGCAATTTTGCTCAATAGATAGATGAAAAAAATTATAATAAATTGTTATTGCATATCAATTTTCATTAACCGCTCTTCAAAGAAATTATCATTAACTGATGTTAGATTTCATCATTTCTTGAAGGGATACTTTAACTGCATTATTACCATTTGTTTTTCTATATACTTCATCAACATATTTTTGTGGTATAGAAAGTTCGCCATAAGATATGAGAATTTTGATGCATTATTACCGCACACATATTTTTGTTTTCCTATATATTTCATCACACATATCTTAAATCGATACTTTAAATGCATTATTACCGTAAATTTACTTCATCACACATCCTAGAGTGGATATGAGAATTTTGATGCGGCATACCCTATGCTAAAATCCTAGATCCACTGGCGGTGAGCGTAGCTTGCCGAGTTAGTTTTTTTTTGGAATGCGGCCGTGGCGTAGATAATGGTGTTGGGGCACATGGCAGTTGCGAGCTCGGCTTCGGGCTCCTCCCGGTGTGAACTGTGAAGCCGTGTCGTCGTATAAGTCCAGGACTTGTGTACGCGTACCTGCGTAGTGTGTGCCACGTTTTTCTAGCCCACGTCTTTTTATCTAGGTGATGACTAGATGACTTGATTTTGAGTGATTTCTGATAAAATTGAAATAGATAGCATTGGATTTACCAAGAATTGATGATTGGAACACTATGTTAAGAATCAGTCTGTTGCAAATTATGTCATTTTGCGTTTCTTAGATAAGAGATTAAAACCTAATAATTACTTAATTATCTCGAACTCATGAGCCATAGTCATGCGTGTTAGATAGCATATGTTCAACCAACGTACAAAGTCTAATTCTAAAGTGTATAAAAACAAATGACATAAGATATAAATCCAGTTACAATGTATGGGCATGTTTGCTAGTCTATCATACTCTATAATATATTAGTTAGAATAAATTTATAGTCACATAACAAATGTTTGCTCTACAGTCATAACTTATACTACATCCACACTTATGAATACACTTAGAAAATATAACACCATAAAAATAGATACACCGGATTATCTCTTAGCTATTTTCGTTACTCGTTACTTGTTTAAATCCGACGGCTTAGGTGTAGTGTGTCTGCCCTCCCGCGGACCTCCCACGCGCGTGCGCCTGCAGGCTCTCGTTGATTTCGGTTGCCCGTCGTGCTGATGCCGATCCCTCTTCTCCCCATCATCCTCTTCTCTCCAGATCGGCATCGCAACACCGCACGAGCGGTAGCCGCCGGCCGTGCATGCTGGATCGCCGGCCACAGGGGCTCGGAAGCCGCGCTTGGCCACGCCTGGCCCTAGCGAGGAGCCGGCGCGGGGCCAACCGCAGGGGCCGCACGGGGCCGTCGGCCGCCGGACCGGGCTGCAGGGCCGCGAGCGCGGGGCTGCCAGTCGCCGGCTGTCAGCGGCTCAGCTCTGCGGGCGAGATCCAGGCTCGCGCGTTTCTTGCTGTTCGAGAAGGTGGACTATCTCCAGTGGATAGTCGCCGCCGCCGCCGCCGCCTTCTTCGTCGCCATCGTCTTCGTCGCGTTTCTCTTGCGCCGCGCGGGACCAGGACCCGTGGGAGCGGAAGCCGAGTGTAATCCCCCACCACAGCACGCCGCCAGCAAGCCCGCGACCACGGCAAGGGCGCAGCCCATCTCCGCAACGTAGTTCCTCTCCCAGAAGCAGCACAAGGTCCTTCCTTTCTCCCTTCCCCCACTAAAATTCCTGGAAGCAGTGCAGGGACTGTTTGCTCATTTCTACCCATGCACGTGCTCATTCAGTTGAATCAGTTCTCAGGATGGGGGGCGAAATTCATTAGATCTGGGAGATAGGCAGTGTGTTTTGCATATTAAATCAGCTTGGGATCTTGCATACATTCTATTGACAGCTCTGTGTTAGCAGTGGTTCTGACCCCAAGTAAAATGTCTGAATTTTTATCATACTTCTTGATACGTGAGCACCCTGTGTCTCATGATTTGTTTGTGTTTTTTTTTTTGCTCTGCTTAGAACTATTTATAGATTGATACTTTACTCCACTGCAAATAAGAACCACAAACCAATGCAACTCTGAAATGTTAAATTTTGTCAAATTCATTGATACTGGTCAGGGCCATTTACAATTGGTATGTATTTCTTCAATTCAGATTAACCTATTGTTTTATTTGGTTCATTAATATTCTTTCATATTTCATTCCAATTTTTTTGTCTCGATATCTCTAAATTATACTAGCTTGGGATTATTCTTCATGAGTTTGCACATGGTTTATTTTTGGAGGAAAAACTAGAATGCTTCAGGTCATGAAGTATGACACTAAAGTTGAGAGTTTATCAAAGCAAGGTCAAGGACCTGGAAAGGTATAAACTCTGGCATGCCCGTCCAGTATTTTCATTTTATTTTATTATTACCACTTTACCAGAGCTGAATAGTGTTATCCATTATTTGTAGCGACTTGCTTATGCTACTTTAACATGTAATTAAACTTCTTTATTTTCAGGTCCAGACCCGAACTAGGAAAATGAATTCTCAGGGTGCTAGAGCAATTGTCAGGGAAGTCCTTTTCCTTCTTTTTTGTATTCAGCTAGGAGTGGCACATAACAATGATCTGGTTTTGCAATGCTCTAGCCCTATTAAGCTCTTTCCTTGTCTGAAGCCAAGGGGTGCTCACTGCTGCTTGTTACGGGAAATCGGGAACGACCTTGCTCATGGCCATAGGCATGGTATGCGGCTAGCTCATGAGAGGGGAGGGATCACTGAATGGAAATTTCCTTAAAAAAAAGGAGTGCATGGGAACGTTGCATTGAACTCTGCCATTAAGCATGGATCACTGAATGAAATTTCCAGCTTTGCAGTCATCGTCCTGGAGATCTAAATCAAGAGGTTTCAGTTCAAGATCATTGTGGCGACCAACAATGTGGTAAGCTACATAGAAACACTGCGATTAAAATTATATATTGCCTGTCAAAGTTCTAGGATATGCTGGCAGTTTTTTAAAACTTTCATATCACACTGAGCCAGCAAAGAGCTTGCTGACCAACTTAAGAAAATTTTTTACAAAGCACTAGAAGGACTACTCCATGATGGAAGAAAATCCCAATTAAAATGGTGTAATATGTTGGTTTAAACATCTGCAGTACCATTTCCAAGCAATAAATATCAATTGTGCTCTGTGGTTTATATATCAATTGACACAGATATATCATGATTTGCATTTTGACTTTTATTTACGTGAATGAATATGGAATTTGACGTTATTCTAATTATTGGATTATGTGTGGAGCTCTATGGTTTTTAATATGAAGACGGCTAACTAGAACTTTTTAACAGAAATGTTTTGCTCCAATTTTCTGGTAAACATCGTAGCAACAGAGAAAGCTGAGTTCAGGACCTCAGCTCAGCCAAGTCCGTCGGCACCAGTATTGCATAAAGTGAACAGGTAAGTAGCTAATCGGCTAGCCTGTATCTTCTTTGTTTAGTTGCAGCAGATTGCGTTTTGTTTAGGCCAATCATCTTGGTTTTTTTAGCTAACCAGTTCAATTTTTTATGCAATACAAAAAATTGTATGAAACCTGAACATATGTGCAGATGACAATTTTGATAGCTAAATAAATATTGAAACTAATCTTTACTTTGTGCTACACACATATCATTCAGTTCTTAATTGATTGGAATTTCGTCTGTTGATTTGTAGTGTGGCATTAGTTAATGGGACTGTACTGCTAGCTTAGTTCTGTTCGGCTGAAGAGGGGATAGTAACTGTTCTTCCAAATCCAGTCAGTTTCACAAATCCTGAAATCCATAAAGAGGGTGCATGTACTGACTAATTTACAAAGGGGAATTTAAACATGCATGTCATTATTTTTTTTCCAAGTTTATGTTGCTCCATTGGCATATGGCTAGCCAGGATGAAAATATTAGTGTTGTGCTGTGTCCATTAATAAGCATGCTTATTGGAGTTTCTTTTTCTTAAAAAGAATCGTATCTAGTGGCTGGCTGAAGTCTAATTCATGGGTGTTCTTGGATTCAGAAGCAGGCAAGCACATGCTGTTGTTCTCTACAAGTACATGCCCAACAAAAGCTTGGATGACCCACCCGTTCTACTAAAGCTCATCCTACCCTTTCTTGGAGATTGTGCCATACAAGGTCTCGAATACCTCCACGAATGAGTCTCTACCAGTATATAATGCACCGGTCGGAGATCGCTTTCTTGCTGCGTAAAGCTCCCATTCATTAATCATATGGAAATCCTGGATAAATGTATTCGCTTGCTGCTAACCTACTCTTCTTTGATTGGTTGGTGACGGCGAAAATGCTGACCTCTTGCTGCATGAACTCAGATCAATGTGCTAGAATTAGATCAATGCATTCTAACTAGGATTCCTGTGGTCCTAATCAGTGGTGTTAGATAATTTGACTGTTGATTGCATACGAAGTTTTATCATAAAAAAGACTTGCAAGGTTTGTTAGGAGGGTGGGGTTGGTATGCTTTTGTGAGATAGATGTCTTTGTCAAATAGGTGCGATTGTTGATTTGCATTAGAACGACAAATCCAGACAGTTTTAATTTGTTGAATGCAGGTGCTGAATGTAACTTTGAGGATGACTCTGTTACCTGTATTCCTGCAATGTCATGAATCATGATCCTAATGTATGTAGAGTTTCCAAAGTAGACCATTTCAGATGACTTGGCTTTCTTTATTTATGAGCAGATTGTGCTTGATGCAGGTGGTCACTTTCTGAGGAAACTTTTGCTGGATGGCAAGAGATTCCCAAAAAATGCATCTCGATCTACAGCAGTTTCTTTGGGTATGAGTTCTCTCTCAAGTTGTGTTGCTTATAATTTGGCTTTCAAGTTCTCAAAAAGTGTGGTTTCTTGATTTCAGTTAATCTATGGAACAGAAGTCATAGGCTCATAATTTTTGTCTGTGTAGTTGTTTCTCACGGTGAACAAGTATTCCCCCGTGTGACGGAAAAAATGTGCGAGCAAGAGTTGGTTCACGACTGGAGATATAGCTGCCTTTGAGAGTGGGTGTGTGCACTACCACATCGAGCTTGTGCTGATGATGGCGATTTGAGTGTTCATTTGTCTAAGCTTCTAAGCTTGTCGTTTTTAATTCAACTTCATTCTGTTTTCACTAATCTGTAGTACTGATAGAGTATATAGCCTTTGCAGGTCCAAAAGGTCAGTCGAATGTTTTTGATGTCTGGACATCACCTGAAGTGAGAAGACAACATTGGCAGATCGATAGCGGTAGCTAGAATTGAGAATTTATGTTTTATAGCTGGCTAAATGTTTCTGTTAATTTTTTTTTGTTAAATTTAGCTGTATAATACACATTATCTGAATGGCGTATGTATAGGACAAATTTCTATAATATACTGAAAATAATGCAATGAATTGGAATCTCTCTTAATTGTATTGATATACTCTATTTATGTGACGGAGTACCACCGTAGTTTGGTTATCTTCATATGTATCCTTGAAATGAAGCCGTACCGTTAGCATGGGCACTAGTAAGAAAAAGAGGGAGTTAGAGCTCGGCTAGTTAGAAAACAAAGCTCACGCGTATGAGCATGGAGAAAACAAAACCCACACGTATGAGCATGGGTTTGGGTGCCTCCCATAACCGCCGGCTGATCAAAATAGCCAGTTAATAATCATCACCACCATGTTGCCCAAAACTAATCAAACAACTCCCAGCAGATCCTAGCCGTCGGATCAAAATTCAGTGGTTCATCCTCCTCTCCCGCCACCGTCTGGTCGTCGTCTCCTCGTCGCACAAGTCACCACCGACCGCATCTCCATCTCGTCGTCTTCACCATGCCGATCCGGCGTCAGCGCTAGGGTTAGGGTTCCCTCTTCGCCTTCATTGCCATGGCTCCCTAACGAAGCCGCTAACGTCACCACCCCGTCCGAGCCGGAGAGCGTGGGCGGCAGTGAGATGAGCAGCGAAGACACGGCTGCCGCCAGGCTGCTCCTCTCGTCGTCCCTCCCCCCCCCCCCTCCGCGGCTTCCGCAGCCTCGGTGCTGGAGAGCATAGAGGAGCTGGACCGGAGGTACGCGCCGTACGCGCGGCGGGACGCGTACGGGCCGATGGGGCTCGGCCCCGTGAGCGCGGCGGAGGCGCGCGCGGCTGGCGTTTGCCGCGGTCGTGCTGGTCCTGCTCCGCGTCGTGGCAGGCGTGCTCGTACTCGTGGTCTACTACCTCGTGTGCCGCGTGTGCACGCTGCGGGTGGAGGAGGAGCGGGAGGGCGGCGAAGGGGAGGGGTACGCGCGGCTGGACGGGTGGAGGCGGGCGGGGTTGTGCGGTGCGGTTGCGCACTCGCTCGCGCCATGTTGTTCGTCTTCGGATTCTACTGGATCCGAGAGTACGACTGCCGCTTCCCCAATGCAGAGGTAGTGACGATGATTAGTTCTAGTTCTATATATGCAAGCTTCTGATTGTTTATTTTCTGCTTGCCTTCTTTGCTCTTGATTCCTGAGCAAGGGAAGAGTTGGATAGTGTAATATTTGACAGTATTTGATACAAGATACATGATAGCTATTAGCCTGGGTGCTTTGGTGTTTGTTCGTGGGCAGCATGTTTTTCCTGTGTGGATGAGAAAGTGGATGTGTAGACTGATTAAATTTATGTGCACCCTGTCATTGAGCATAGGTGCATCTATCAACTTGCATGGAAGATTTGCTAGTTTGTTTTCCCCATCTGCCACATTGTGATCCCATGTGTTTGTTTGCAGCTAAAATGTTTCCAGATGTTGGGGAAGTATTTGTGTTCTGGGGTTGAAGTTCCTCAGACATCAGAATTTAATGATAATGTGATAAATCTTGTGGTGGTTGTGTAGCATGGTCATCATTTGTAGCAGAAAATAGTATCGGTGTAATTTTAGCCTTTACTGACTGACTACAGGTGAATCCTACTTGGGGGGTTTGAATGATGAGTGGAATGAATATTATATATGGCTGGTTTTGTGTCTATGTCATCTCCAGCTATCGTAATTCATTAATATTTCAGGATGACGATGTGGACCAGTCTAAAGAAATCGAAAGGCCTGGGGCAATTGTGTCTAATCATGTATCTTATGTGGATATTCTTTATCACATGTCAGCCTCTTTTCCTAGTTTTGTTGCAAAGGTACTGTAAAATTTTTGTGATAATGTAATTGTTTATATGGTTTCTCAAAACTTTGCCATTAAAATATATTGATTTTGACATGTCTCTTTTGCATATCTCTATCCTTCTTGAAGAGATCAGTGGCCAGATTGCCTCTAGTTGGTCTCATAAGGTACTAGCATTCTCTACTGTCTTTGGAGTTATGTTTTCGCTCAGTTTTCTACCAGAAATTGTAACATGATATTGTGGTAGATAGTTTAACTGGTCAAATGTTTACTTGTATTTACTTCGTGTAAGATCAATTGAAAAAAATGACATGTGTTATGTTATCATGCAGCAAATGTCTTGGATGCATTTTTGTTCAGCGGGAGTCGAAAACATCAGATTTCAAAGGTGTTTCAGGTGATTTCCATAGTCTTAAACTAACATGGTTTGTCTTTTTTCTTGGCTTTTGAGGATAAATTCTTATTTTCTCATTGTCAAAACTTGAGTATGTTTGGAAAAATAAGGTACTACTGTCTACCAAATTTTGGCCAGGAAATTCTGCACTGAACCTTCCGCTAGTTGATTAATGTCTACTGTTAAATTCCATCCATGCTCCTGAAACTATAGTGTCCATTTGATGTAGAATCTCATCACAAACTATTTAATTTGTTTATTCT